CTCGGGGTCTCAGGGCTTAGGTTGCCGATTTACACCACTGAAAAGCAGGTCCTCGTGACTATGGGGTTCGCCCCGTCTGTTGCTCATCACACTTAGGTGTGTAATAAAAAATATATGTCGTCACAATGATGACTAAATTCGACGAAAATACATTTCTTGGGTACAGGCGTTTGAATGAAAAATCAAAGCTACCGGATGTGCATGCCCGCCGAGAGACAATAACCGCAAAACCGATCGTGGGGAATTTCGTTCAATTACTCATATAATACTTATTGTGAAATATAGATATTAATATACGAAGTAATTTTACCAAAGCGGCATAAATGATAAAAATGAATCTTTCTGTTGACAGATGGAAGGTATTCAACAAATGGTAATAACTACCAGCATAAATATTTGAACATAATCTGCTTCACATAGAATTCGTAACGCATTACCTGGGCTACTGATTTGTTGCGTGGCCAATAAACGTCTTGCTTTTTTCGTATCAGGAGTTTTGTTTTGATGGCCCCCGTTTTCAGATTCAAAGAAAAATCTTATGCGACCTTTATACTCCAGTCGGATATTTGTTCCAAAATTATGATCTCAGAAAAACAGAACATAGTGTTTCCATCCACTGAGAGGTAAACAGTTTGTCTGCTGTTGTTCAAACGTATGAAAGCATGACCCATACTTACAACCTTAGTTGAAGTTGATGAAATCTTTGGGTTTACATTTTTGTGGATTGAACAAAAACACTGAAAATGAACATCATCGAGACGTGGGTGAAACAAGAATCAGTGGGTATGTAACGTAATGTCACTGGCTTGGATTGAACTTTTTCGGCAAATCCATAACCATCGGGTTAAAATTATATGGCGTAGAAGATCTCTATACTAAGCTGTTTCGTTTCAAATAAGATTTGCCCAGCCAGGAATGAGCGTAAATAAATGAAGAAATTTCCAAATTTTGCATTCTGGAAATTGATTCATATCACAGAGCAGAAAAGCGTTTTTCAAAGTTCCTCCTCAAACTACTAATAAGTAGTACAATTCCCAATAACAAGTGGTTCGTGCACATCATCCATAACTCACAGTTCAGGTCAAGCATTGATTGAGCAGAAGATGCTTTACCAACCGAATTCTCTGCACGACATTCGATTAGTCCTTCGTCCTCCAAGTAACTCAAATCGTCTGATTCCTTCAAGTCTACGAATGCATCGAAGGGTCTCCACTTTATATAATTGTATCTTGCTGGTTGATTCATTCGGAGAGTGCGCAGAGTCCCATCTCGTCGCCTGACGATCCAAGTAACCTGAGCTTGAGGATTCGCTTCGTAAACTACACATGCAAAATAATGTGACTTTCCAACTGTAAGCTTCCACTTGTTTTGGGGTATTAGTCCAGGTTTTCCATCTTTAACTGATGTCCAGATTTGTCCTTCGCTTGCCTCTTTGATCATCTGTATGAATGTCGGATGTCTGGGAGCACCTGATGTGTACAGAACGGAACAAAAGTAGACCGCTATGGGGGAGAACAGAACAGGTTAGGCATACATAAATTTCGGTGCGCAGTTAACTCAACTTCATTGATTATCTGCTGGACCACGCCCCAATCAGCCCCCTTTCCCCAAGCCTGGGGTTCAAAGCGTCCTAATGTTCAACGTCTAATAGAATGAGATTCGTGGCGTCTGATGCTCTCCTCTCTCAAAGAGTCACAAAATTACAGATAAGGTTATCATTATTGCTTATTTACCGCTTTTGCCGACAGCTTCCATTAGGTCCGTTTAAAAGTGCGAGTCTTGCCGTCTGCTTAGGGCTGATGTCTATTTTAGATAAGAACAGGGAAGCCAATGGAAAAGACAAGGGGATGGGACAAGTGAGTCTACCACGAATTAGGAAGTACTGATTTTATGGGTATTTTTATCTATGAATCATCTCCAGTAGTCATGCTCTTTTACCCGAAAAAGATAACTGGAGTAAGAAGATGACGGTGCGGATTGCAGGAAATAAGGTGGTCACCATTTTCTCATAAGCTAAAAAAGCACTCCTTTCCTGTATATGATATCTTCATGCCACAAATCAACTATTCATGTGGATTAGTGTTATTTCAAGGATCAGGTACTATGTTGCAAATGACAAGAATCTTTAAACTTATTAAGCCAACCAACTCCGATGGAAACATTAGGATTTGGAAACTTGTAAAACAAGGAACAACCTTTTAATAAATGCTCCCTGTTTATGTATGACAATTCATGTGGACATATTTGTCTCTGTGTTCGTCACTGTTAGCCTGTGTCATCTGATTGATCCAATCCACATTTCCCCCTCGTTTCGTTCCGTGGGATCATATGTATTCAAGTAAAAACGGCTTCCTTGAACTGCCATAAAGCACTGGAGAATCCAGTTAATAAACTTATGCAATGCATTTTAGTAGTTTAGTTGGGCAGTGTGACTGATGGCATACAAGAGAAAAGCAGTTCCAGTATAATAAGTATCGTCTGTGCATAACCATTCAGGTAGATGCTTCTCCTGCAGTACCTACAGAACCAACATTTCGGGTTGATATTTTATGTGGAAAATTTAGTTCAGTTATCTTCTTCCAGTAACATGCACAACACTTTGTTTATTTGTTTACCCAAATAACGTATTATACAAACCGCTAATATAAATGACTGACGACAGACATAAATAGCTGTGACGTCAATGTAACCAAGAGAACCTAGAGAAGCTCAATGTGATGGTCTCTCAGACGAACTTCAGTGTGTTCGACAACCCTAAACCCTCCATCTACTGTGATCACCTTATGCGGTATCTAAATTTCTGCTACGATATATGCCACCCCTGGGAGAAGCTATACCTTTGGTGTGACCTCATCTCGTCTCCTTATCTGAAGCAGTCACGTTGAAGCAAGGAAAGGGCATACAAAAGCAAAGATATTCAAAAAGTGAAACTCTTATCTCTTGCTATCAAAGGTGGGCTACATCGACTGAACGGCATATACACTCCTACATTCCTGCACAAAAGAACCTGCCGGGAAACCTGGAACATCATCAAGCAGCTGAGTGGTCAGTCCTCAATCGTGTCTCGAACAGCAATAGATGTTGAGGAACTAAAAAGAACATTCAACAAAATTAATAAAAATAACACGGGGACGAGGCGGATCATCATCAGCGCAAACATCGACCCCAGCAATAAAGAACCCTTTACTGTTCGACAACAGTATGTTCATAAAGAGTTGCTGACACTCAAACCCAGCAAATCACCCGGTCCTGATAGGTTGGAGGCTGCCATCCTTTAGGATTGCACTCACACACTTTCGCCAGTGCTCACAGCTTTGTTTAACCAGTGCTTGGAAAACGGAATTATACCTGATTGTTGGAAATCTGCCCCCATCACTCTAGTGTCCAAAAAAGCCACCTTAAACTTCGTCCTATTGCATATATGTCTGTTGTCCTGAAACTTTTCGAGAAGTTACTCCTTCAAGGAATGTCATCTCAGCTGAATGTGCAGACCCAAAACCAATTTGCGTACCGTCGCTCTCGTTCCACACTAGATGCCCCAGCTTCTCTGGTTCACTGTATTCTGTCAGCCATTGAGGGAAACAAGAAAGTTGTCAGAATTTGTTTCCTGTATTACGGTGACGCCTTGAATTTTCTTGACACATCTACGCTGTTAAATATTCTGTCTTCCGATGGAATATCGCAAACCATAAATGCAGTAATCACTAATTACATTGCGAGTGCTCCATCGTTTACAGCCGTCTCGTCCGTCTCACCCATGACCTTAAGCAAGCAAATTCCCTCTGACCCCTAATGCGATCTGATTGGATCATATTCCGCGATCTGCGGCGCTTAAAATCCCTCACCACATCTCGAGACTGTCTGATTACCGACTTGTACGTTTTGTAATGCTCTTGGTGTTACGTCCAGTTCATCCGAGTACGGATGGCACTCCTGCTACACAGTCGAAGTTCACTGGGCCTACCTGAGACTTACAGCTGTAAAAAAGGTGCGGTTTCTCACTCGCGTTAGCTGGGCAAGCACCAAGTCCCTTGTTGCGGCTGAATCATTCGACCGATCGATAAATGAACCTGATCGGTGGTGTGATTTTCGGGCCGGCACAGGAGGAGGATAGGTTCCGAATCCGATGCTGCCTAAATGGTGAACTTCAACTGTGTAGCAGGAGTGTCATCCGTACTCGGATGAACTGGACGTAACACCAAGAGCATTACAAAACGTACAAGTCGGTAATCAGGCAGTCTCGAGATGGGGCGAGAGATTTTAAGTGGCGCAGAAGGGGTCAGATGGAATATGCTTGCTTAAAGTCACGGGTGAGAGAGACGTGACGATGGTTTTCGATTGCGCGATCGCACTGCATAAATCAAACACTTGACTATATATGTCTGGGTTCCTTTTTCTCAAACCTCGAGAAGCAATTACATAGTGCGACAGCACACAACAGTGGAACAATATTTTCCATTATTTGGACACCATGTCCAGAAATGTTCCCTCCACTCTTCTGCCACCGTGGCTCTTGAGCACAGTCATGCTAAAATAGTTTGACTTCACGTCTCAGCAATGCCATCACAGATATTATAAGAAAATAAGTGAAAATTCACTCACTTAAAACACGTAAACTCGTTCTCGCTTCCATAGCGTCCAAATTGAGCAACACATAGCACTGGAATGTCCCGTCAAATTTCCACGTGATCTGATGCAATCTAAGTGTGTGCAACTGACGCCGAGCAATCTGATCCCGATCCAAGAAACTGGACGTAGAGGACCGCGCATTCAATTCGGCCATTCCGGTTTTAAGTTTCCCATATTGGTTCACTAATTCACAGGAACCGGGCGGTTCCGGACATCGAGCGATATCATCATCCTGATGCATAAAAGCCCAATTTGCTGGCGGAGGTGGTTCTCGGCTGTGTCGAAAACGCCAGATCACATACACGCTGTCATCATGGCTGGGGACGCGTGAAAGCAGGCAACGTAATAAGATGGACTGGTTCAATCCGCCGATCAATTCATTTGGTTCAACCGTTAATGTGAGTCTCCGTCGATTCGAAGAAATGGAATCATCTGGAAAGGGTGAGAAAGACGAAGAAGTGTATTTGGCATGCAGCCGACTTAGGGAATTTGTGTTGGAGAGATAGTGAACTAATCGTTCAACAACAAAAAAGAAATTGAACTCGTATTCACAGCTTGTGATGCTTAACCGACTTCAGTGTTTCATTATCTGAAGGGTAAATATAATCCACTTCTTGGGAAAATGACGTGTTATTCTTTTCTTCTAAAAACACATCTGGAATTTGAGGATTTGCTCATACCTCAAAATTTTTACCTTCAGAGTTGTGTTAGCTTATGGACTAAAGAGACAGGTTTTATTCTAGAGAGCCTTGTTTTAATAAACGTTGGCCAAAAAAGCGAAAACCTGATCCAACGCTGATATGTTATCAGGTAGAAAGTAGTCTGATGTACACAGCCGATCACAATATGAAGGTATCTTGCCGAAACATATAGTTTGTCTCAGACAAAACGGAACAGCTGTTTTTTGTCTTTTTTGTAATCCCTTTGAAATACCATATCGTATCAATCAGGGTTGTAAAGGGCAATGTGAAAAAATACGGAAAACGAATACAGTGGTAAGAAATACCACAAATAATCGTTTACTTTGTTCCTTGACGTGCCTCACGCCCGACGACATTCCATGGATTCAATTTTCGTGATTAGCGAAGCTCACTGATGCACAGTCACCAGTACAATTTCGAAGTGAACTTGGCCAGAAGAAATGGTGCAAAATTCCCTCAATTTCCTTGGTCATGAGCTAGAGGCGTAATAAATGCATTACGTATCCTGAGCCTCCAATGAATAACCGATAGAAAACATTCACGTGAATTATTCAACACATCCGGGTAAAATGATGAACGAAGTAGGAATTCAGTTGCTCCTCTGTAGCCCATTCGGGACCAAACGAGAGGGGATCTATGCATGGCCCTTGTTCCGACCTCGATCCCGATAGATTCGTTTACCAGAAGATACATTATCTGAATGGGACTGCCAGACGCACGACACGTGTTGTGGGTTCAAAGCCAAACAGTTAGTAAAACACATTTTTCATTACCGATTCCTGTGCTGTTTTCTGGGAAAATAGGTACTCAAAACATGGGCATGCTATGCAGTCTTTCAGTGCAAAATGCCAGTCTGGTCGCACACAAGAAAAAACATGAGCAAGTCTGCGACGTGCACTGATTACCACACATTTGCTTCATGAGTAAATTAGACGGGAGACCTTGAACCAATTGTCTGATATAGATTTCTGTGCACTTTGAATATTCTCATAATAGCATTGAGGGAACGAGTCGGTGAGTGAACAAGTGTTTTCGGATATTCCTAGTCATTCTCTTAAATATCAGCCATTGGATCAATTAAAGGTCATTGTTCGGAGTCGGAGGGAAGCGGATGTGTGTGTGTATGGGAGCGATTACTGTGTCGGTGGATGCGAACCTTCACCATTTGGGTCAGTGAACACATTCTGTTCTGTTTTGGTTTTCACACTGTGTCAGGGCAATTGAAGCGCTTGAACCAACCGTTTTGGGGCACAGAGACTTGGGCAAAGTAGACGAATGGCGATCACCTCGGCCATGGTCAGTGTCCAGACTCGGGCCGCCTTCGATCGATTGACAGTGTATGCGATAAACAACATCAAAAGCTTTTTTCTGTTCGATCTTGTGTTCGGTGTCTCCGAGATGACCCACGATCGCACTTGAGATACAGCGGGTCTTCCCCTGACTTAACCATCGCGGGTGGTGCTCCTTAACGCGTTGAGACAAACGCCTTACCTTAAGACCTACGTAACAGGCACCACAGACGCACTTGAAGGAATAAATTAACATGAATGAGGTCAGTTTCGAAAGTTTGTCGTTTACTTGCGTTCTCGTCACCGGTGATGTGGAGAACACAGCTCTAAGCTTCCCTGCAGGGAAAGTGGAATTTATCGCCGTTCTCAATCACTGCACTAGGATTTCTCTATGTGAATCCCCTTTATAAGAAATCCTTATAGATAGTTGTTTCTTGGGGACACTGATAGGGTCTTCCTTTTCCTGAGAGGGTCAAATATTGTTGTCAATAAACGTTTCCAGATAAACACTGTCCTGCAGCGTTTGGCGGGTGAAGCGTAATTCTTCATCCACTATCTGCTGAACAAATCTTATGGGCTCTGAAGGCTAGACACCGGACCAGATTACGTTTGTACTTTACAGGAAAGAAACTATGGAAGTTGGTGTGCTGATCATTCCATGTTTTCTTTCGGTGGATCCGTATTTTTACTGATCCACCTTCTCTTCTAGACACAGTAACATTCAAAAATGACAACATGTTGTTCGTTTCCACCTCTGCGACGAAGTTCAGTGATTGATGAGATCCTTTGAACAACTCCAGTATTTGTGGGATGCCATTCTCTCGGACGATTACACAGAATACATCATCCATGTACCTACTGTAGTGCGCTAATCGGTAGTAATCGAAATAGTACTGAATATAAGAATACAAGAATCCGTTCTGTAATGTTCAGAACTGGATTGGCTCCAATCCGAACTGCGGACACCAATGAAATACACGAGGAATTGACAAACAAATACTTATGTTTATTGATAGAATTAGAGCATGTTTTATAGAAGGTAATAGGCCATATGATAGGTTGAAGGACCGTCGTCCAATCACGTGACCATTTGCGCCGAAGCGTCACATGTACTAACTCGGATGTTATGTTCGCCCGGTGTACCATTGGCCAAGCCTCCTGAACGGTGATTGGATGACATGACACTGTACCTGGTCGTGCCTGTAATGCGGTCACCTAAGTCTGGATCATCACATAATCCTGCAATTGTTGAGCTCAGTGTACCACTTTCTAGTTTAGGTCAGCTAGCGACGCCGTCCATTAAATAGAAACTGAACGTTACGTGTACAACGTAGTAATAGTTCCTTTAGGTTTGTGACCGGGATACCCACGTTTATATCTAGCGCTTTTATTTGATCACAGTTGAATTCCACTATCTCCAACAGGGATACATTGGTGAACGATATTCAAGAAAAGCATCGTTTTGTCTTTCAAGTGCATATCTTCTATGTTGGTTACAAATTGAAAACTGTCTCGGAGACTATGCGTGGCGAATCTACGACGGATAGGTTCTAGTAGTTCAACCAACCATTGTACCGTTGCGTGATATGGTGAATTCACCATTGCCGTATTGGGTCTAACTGGAACTCGTTCTTTGTGAATCTTCGGCAGACCATACAATCGAGGAATAGTGGACGCACATTGTTTTACTCTCTCAAATACTGTATTGTCTATATATCGCTGTATTTTTAGTGCTTTCAGTAAATCCATGATTTTTTCCTCCACCTTTCCGGTTTCGTCCTTTCGTTTGTTGCATTTGGAGAACTTTTGATCACCCGAAATTAGCTCCAAACGCTTTCGGACATAATAACCCTTGTTCATGACCAACACCGCGGTGCCCTAATCCGGTTTGAGTAGTGTAATATCTTTGTTCTTCCAGAACGTGTCCCTTGATCCAATAGGCGACAGGTCACATTCACTGACACAGTAAACGCTCCTACACACACACACACACACACACACACACACACACACATCTCCTTCCCTCCGACTCCGATTAATAACCTTAAATTGGACCAATGGCTGTCATTCTGTAAGCATTTTTCGGCCGTATGATATTTAAGAGCATGACTAGGAATATCCGAAAACAGTTGTTCGCCCCCGACTTGTTCTCTCGAAATTGTGTAATTTTCATCATGAGCTCGACAAGTTGAGCTGTACGTGTTTGAAAGTCCCTACACAGGTTCCAGCAGCTAGTTGACATTCTGCCTGTGCGCAAACGTGTAATTTTGACCTTAGTTGTCACTGAGCAAACTGACGAATTCACTTTCGGAATCTACGCTGAATACGGAGGGTGCATAACCCTGTACACGTTCGCCTATTTTACCGCTTGGTTGTTGTGATGTATAACCCGTAACCAAAATACTGCCAGCCGACCCCCCAGAGATTTTGGGATTATCTCTGCTCCTAAGAGTACGAACATCATCATTTTTGAGAATCTAGAAGGCAGTCAAATGAAAGGCCGAAATACGTGATTTAGATAATTTATTTTTAACAAAAAAACTATACAGAAGTTTGATCGTGACAAAGGTGTGACACCCTCGCTCGAAACTTGCTGATTGAAGTCGGTTTAGTAATAAGTGCATTAGCCGTTCCGTCTCAAAACTCCTTCTTGACATAATCTCCATAAGATTTTGAATATATTTCCGGGGCGATATTATTCTCCTTCTAAATAAAGATGCCGCTGTTTCATGCTTTGTGGTGTAAACCCTGGAGTGTGGATATTCCTTTCGGGTAAGAATATCCCATGGACTTCACATGTCCAACTCGGTTTAAAAACGGGTGCGCGAGACATTCCGATTTTGTACTTCGACACGGCCACAACGATGTATCTGTGGTCGACAGAATTCTGTGAGCTACGGTTATATGACGCCCTGGTGATGGTGGTTATATTGTCGGGTCACTCTCAATGACCCTGAAAGAGTAAATATATCCAAGTGGGATATTGCAAGTCGTTCTGAACTCTGGCGAGTTGGACAGGGCTTACGGATAGCTAGAATTCCATGGTGATGCCTTCCGTGAAACCAGTGCCAGCATACAGGAGATGGTCAAATGGTGTAACGGGTCCAGATCCACTGTGACACGATATTTCGGACAGAAACAGCGGAAAAACCAGTCATAAACAGATTAGAGGCAAGAAAATGCTTTCGGAGAAAGATAAATGCAGATTACTTCGTATGGCCTCAAACTCTGTGATTCATGCATCAAAGGTTTTAAGAAATTACTTGACTTGGACGTTGTGGTGAGAACGATTCAATACACACTTGAAACTTTTCTTCGATGAAATACAACAAAATGAAAAGTTGCATGGTTCTGAGAACTTTCCAACTAGAAAAACGTGTATTGCTGGTTAGAACTCATGTCACCTGGAAAAATGAAAGGAAATTCATATAATGAAAAGATAAAAACAAATGTCAGTTAAATTGACCCGATGCATGGAACCACTGCTGGCGTGATCTGTAAAAAGACGAACGTTACTAGCGTGAGCGCATTCATGACCAAAACTTCATGATGGTGCCTTCTCGAGCAAATGCCAAGCCGAACTCGCCATACTACATGGGGCGCAAGAGTCTGATGCATATATTCTTGCATGGGAGCGGCACCTTATACTAGCAATGTCATCGAATGGACATCCGAAAGCCACTACACCGGTACTCAACCGACTTCAATGAGCAAATTCCGGGGGAGGGTACAACACTTTTGTCATGATCAAAATTCTGTTATTTTGTTATTAGTTCTTTAAAATATACGATAATTTATTCAAACTTCGTAGTTCGGCGTAATACACGGTTGCCATCTGGATTCTCAAAAATGGTGATGTTCGTGCATGTGGCAGCGGTAATACTCCAAAACTCTCTGTGGGAGGGAGTAATAATTTCGTCGTAGGATGTATTCCGACTTCGGTATGATAAGATTTTAACCTAATCAACTTCGAACTAAATCGTGGTGTGATACTTAACAGCCTTGAGAACTGAAGCACGATTGAAAACGTATCTGTTGCTATTCATGTTATCCGTGTCAAAGAAATTGAACTTCCTATTATCGAGGATTATTTTCACTGTAATATTCACTACTGGTAATAACAATTTCTAAAATATCATTAGCAAACAAAAGACAATCCAAGTACGAATGTCTGTTTGAATTGTTTTTGGTTAAAACGATATTAAATAGAAAAATTCCAATTCCTAACATGACACCATCATCACAACTCCGTAAACTTTGCCCAATCACGGTAATTCATTTCCGATTGCATTGGTCGTTCTGCTTCAAAAAATTACATGCGCGCGCACACACACAAAACATTCTCGGTACATCCTGAATGGGATTCCGAATAATGTCGCTCTCGGGACTTTTCCATGCTTTCGTCAAGCACAGGTCCTATTTATGATTATGTGGTGCAAATTCCTGTGTATCGGTACACGTCTTTTTATACGACTTTTGAGCCTGTGCTGCATTGGGGGCCACAAAATATGACAGAATAATGCCCGGCAACTTATAAGTTAGGCTTTGAGAACAGTGGCATTATTCTACAAGAAATTCATCGCCTAACTAGTTGATGTCGCTGCGGGCAATAGGTGAGGATTCAATGTGCCAACAACCACACCCGAATCTTGCATCTCACGCGAGTTCGATCCGACCGTTGATCGAGAAAGCACCAGTATACCAGTATGGGATTTCGATCCCTTATCTACCTAACTGAATAACGTTTGTTTCGATATGTGGTGCCGTTGATGATTCCATTGGTGGTATTATTGGAATACGTTTCGTCACTGAACTAAACAAAATATCAGTCGTTTGTTTTTTTTTTGTTTTCAGGCGTTCCTGTTGTAAAAGTTACCCAAGACACGAGCCTTCATATTTTCTTGTATTTCATCAAGATCACTTTGAGGATTCATTTCCCCCCCCACCCTCCCTCCCGAGGAGTGCAATTCAATTACTCTTAGTGTACTGGCTGCATGATTCACTGATCAATCATTCACGGGGCCAGCATAATGCTCTGCGTCTATTCTGCTTGAAAATGTTTCCTTACAATATGTTTTTGGCCTGATTTATGGATGTTCCCACTTCATTTCACGTGCAACAGCTGATCGTTTGCCTCACCTGGTCATCTTGTACGTGCTGCAATTGGCACCATGAAACGAATCGGCTCTGGATTTCTGGATTACACTGCACGTCTTCATTCTTACCTTGGTTAACAGGACCTGCTCCTGACCAAATCGAACCAAATTGGTCCCTTCTGAAGGAAAATGCGAGTGTTACGGGATTATGACTACTCCGACCTTGGTGGCTTATAACCGCGTAACTTTCCTCATTCTGTGTGCTGTAGGACCGCACTTTGATTGGCCGCCTCTCTCTTCCTCATTGTATATTCCATTAAAATTGAATTAATTAAATTGAAAATACAAGAAGGAAAAGCCCACCCCCTGTTTATTGACTGGATCGAATTAGTCAATCAGGAACTTAATCAATGAACTGCAGTGAACAGAGATGGTTTTTCATCTTCAGGCTGCTCAACAAAAAGACGTTCATGAACCAATGCAGACTCGTTCTGTTACTGCTATTACTCCGCAGTACTTACTTTGCATATGGTTAGTGCTAAAATGAGTGCATTTGACAATAAACTTGTGGGGATGACTGCGGCAATTAGTCGTCTACCCAGCTCACGGAACTGCCACGTAAACGGCCCGAGGATAATGAAAGTGACCCACGGAACGCCAGAAATGGCCAACTTCCTATTGCAGTCGTGGAAGGATAATAGAAAAAGGAGTCCGCCGGAATTACGCCTAAGACTATTACATAATACTGGATCCCAGCAAAGTCCGAAAACGGCAACCGATACTAACATGCCACCTTCCTCGACTAGCGCAGTTTTTATCACTCCCCGTTCACCAAACAGCACCGACCAAGCCAATTCTAAAAAAAACTGTTAGCCGACCTCAAGTTGGTCGGCAGAAACAACACCACATACCCAGATAGATTTCTTTGCCAAAGATATCTTTCATGTTTTTATACGAATGCACGAGGTTACCTTAGCAAATTCTTCGAGATGGAAATTCGTTGGAAAACTAATCGATTTGACATTGTTGCCTTTACGGAAACCTGGCTGACTACCGACATTCTCGACTTGGAATTGCTTCTATCTGGAATGTCGCTGCTCAGACTTGAACGTCCTACACGAGGCGGTGGAGTGCTGCTTTATCATCGAAACTATTTACAGTGTGAATAGTT